CCCCCCCCCCCCCCCCAACAACAAAATCATACCTTCTGTAGATGGTACTACAATATCCACCAAAAACCCCATAAGTCTGAAGGCCACTCTAGCCATAGGAGTAGGGTTTATATTACTTGTTCGGTCAGTGTGGCACAATTCGGGGATGCTCGAAATATCTAGTACCAGACCTTACGTCATAAAGGGGCTGTAACAGGATACCCTAAACCCTAAACCCTAAACCCTGAAACCCTTGCGAAACTCATCGCTAGGAGCGTTCTTTCACCCTCAGGGCTTCTTTGCTTGAAGGGTCCTAGAACAGTTTGAGCCTGAACCAAGCCCCAGAAACCGCACAAACCCTAAATGGAGCAGGCCGCAACCGTAGTGGTTTGGGATGTTTAGGTTTATGGGTTTTAGGGTTTAAGATTGAGCGCTTTAGGGGTTAGGGATGCTCGTGCAAGGTGCTTCTTGCTTGCAGGTCTCCTGTTAGACCCTGAACCCTACACAAGAGCCACTGCAGAAGAACCCGCAGCCCGAAACACTTCCCGTTGTTCCGTCTCCCTAGCTTCTCGTTATTGCAGCTCAGACTTTCGGTAGCTACGCCTAGACAGGTTAGAAATAACATACCTTACGGTCCATGTGTGACATTCATGCTCATGTACTATGCCAGAAGACCCGAGTCACTAGTCTTGTGCCTAATTTTAAGCCTGGTGCTCCGCCTCTTTGCAAGCCAACAGAGCCCTAAATTGTAGTTCTCAACCTTAAAATCCAATCACTTCGACTAAGCCCCATGAAGGGCATCCACCAACAATAACAACCCCCATGCTTCCCGACACCTCGCAAAAACAAGCAGCGAAATGCTCGTCAGACTGCCTCTCAGAGGACGTAGAAAAGAGTTTAGGGCAAGGTGCTACAGTTGATGATATAAATCCTGCATTACCTTAAGGTCTCTAAACTATGAGAATTATGGGTATATTCCTTATTGTGGGTAATGCAGGATTTATATCATCAACCGTATCAGAGCACAACACCCAAGCCTGAACTGATACGCCCGAGGCGGCGTCGGAATTATCGGCGGAGGCGACTCCGCAACGGCCGCGGCCAAGTGGGACATGGAGGCCTCTGACGGTAAGATTTAGGCCTTTGGGGTGTGGGGTTCAGGATTTAGATGGATTTTGGGCACAGTCCTAAACCCTAAACCCCAAACCCTATAGACCCTAAGCCCTGATCCCTAGAAGAGCATGAGTTGCAGGAGGCTCATAGGTTTCTTGCTTTCTCGACTCCTCTGTCTTTGTTGAAAAGTAGGAGATTAGGGTTTAGGGATTCGGGTTTAGGGTTTAGGGATTAGGGTTTAGGGTTTAGGGATTAGGGTTTAGGGATTAGGGTTTCGGGATTAGGGTTTAGGGTTTAGGGTTCAGGGTTTAGGGTCTGTGAGGG